CCAAAAAAAATCAAAATTAGATACGTATATTAAGATGGACGACATGACGAAAACCCCAAAAGTGAATTCAGAGCAACTCGAATGCCTCCAGTAGCTGGCTGCAGTACAGGCTGTAAATCCGTCCTCGTCCATATTAGTGGATATCATGTGGACGAAATTAAAAAGCCAAAAGTACAAGTCTCGAACATGGTTTCTGTCATAGGTATATAGTTCGTATCATGTTGGTGTTTGTCCGAGTGCAAACTTTTCTGCGAATTTGATTTTCATTTGTGATTTGATGCTACAAAAAGGAAATAAAACATGATTGACAGCTGAGACTGACTCATGATTGTTCAAGCACATATATCAGCAGGACTTCGTCACATCGATTGCTGCAGTGCAGACTGTGGCTCCAAATGCCCAAGATGGCTGCGTTCATATCCAGGATATTTTGCCTTCTATTTTGGATAGTGGGAGGAAAAGGAGACGCGTCGTCCATCTTTATATACGGTCTATGGTTTCGACGGAACCCACCTGTCTCCACTCTTAGCTAAGCTTAACTAACAAGCTTTTGACTGTGGCTTCACCAGGAAACACTCAAGTGTTTCCCAAAATGTCTAACTTAGGAATGTCAAATGTCAAAGTGTTAGCAGCCCACTACCCAACATAGCTGTCGATTCAGCTCCCAGATCAATTATAACAGAGTAATTTAACCCGGCATAGAAGAGGTTATTGATTCTTGTTAGCCCACAGAGGCTGCAGACTTCAGTCCAGTCAGTGTTAGTGGGTGGCTGAGCTTCATTCCGCTGTAACAGGAGACAGGGAAGTCCTCACACACATTAACCCTTTTAGATGAGCAACATTGAGCAGCAGGCAAAATATTTCTATTTTTCCATCAATATTTCATCACCGACCCAGGCCAAACAAAGCCAGGGGCTTTGACCGTAATGGTCCCATCTGTCTATAGATCTTCAGGACGTCACCATATGGATGTCCTTTGACACCAGAAAATAGGCTTCGACATCAAGGAAAACACACACAGACAGGATCCACGGATGTTAGCTCGCCTGTAGGCAAACTGTATCCCGTTGTATTTTGATGGCTCTTCACAGATGGTCGTCTGATGTTGGAGCAGGAGATCACATTTCAAGAGGGTGGGTGAAGTGGACGTGTCAGCTATTAGGGAAAAATCAGTGCTGTTTGGGGACATCAGTGGCATTTACACCCAATAAGTGATCTGAGATGTGGTATTAATTAACAAATGTCAATTAAATGCTAGATTGCTCAGCGTCACTTTCACAATTCAATCCAACTACTCCACCTTAAGGAAAGTTACTTGACACATATTTCACCCTTGTATTTGAGAATAGAGAGCCAGTTATCCCCTTGTTACTTTTTATCCGGCTACATCTACTGATTATAAAAGGTATAAATATAAATAATATATTATTAGTAAGCCTGCACTATTGGCGTGATATCCTGGCTTGTAAATTACTCATTGTTTTTTAGCAGTAAGGGAGTGACCTCATCAGCTTTGCCAGGCCCATTAGCTTTCTGCACAAACCTCAGGGGACCCGTCCATTAACCCTTACCTGCTAAAGACAGCAGCATTAAGTGAAATGTTTAGAAACAAGAAATGACAGTTTATTGAGCTGTCGCTGAGTGTTCCTCAAACAAGCAGGAATAAAGTTGAATAAAATGTGATGGTGGTAATAGAAAAGTCACACAGAAATATCCAGTGATCTAAGGAGATGAGGGAGCAGAAAATGTTCACACGCACAAATTAAATCAAATCTCTGAATGATCCGATCTGGCACCTGGAGATAGGTGAAGGAAAAGCAGGAGATAGATCCCCTGTGCGCCTGCCTGAGCTTGGGTTACACACAAACCACAGTGAAGGAGCCACTTCTGCCTCTAATTGGTGGTAATTAACCCTCCGTGGTCATTGTTCCTGCTTCATTGTGTTTTAAGAGAGTGGGGGTCAGTGCACACGGGAGCCGTCTCCGCACAGACAGGTAGACGAGGAGCATGGATTGAATGACAAACATGACAAAATATTCTGATGGATAAAAAGACAGAAAACATTCTCATGTGCTTTGTTCAGGTAATTATCACCCGCCTACTCCACAGAGGAATATCATAGCTGCAGGGTAAATTCCTGGGTATGAACTTTAATTAAGTTTTGCACTAAGTGTGTTAAGAAATGTCTGAAATCACTGGACTATGAGTACAAGGTCACTAATCCGTTATTTAAACTGTTCATTCACCTCCTGAATGGTGAGACAAATACCACTATTGATCATTATTAATGACACAGCACCTGTCTTTAAAAAGTTGTTTTGAAATCACGAGATACAATGACGTATTATATGACAAAGGAATCTAATTTAATAAAATAAAGAGATGTGTGGACAAAATGTGTGTGTTCAGTTATTTCCTTTTCATATCACTCTGTCTAATAAGATATACATGTATATAAAGTGTGTTCTTGATGGTAAATAGATAGATTTGATTTAATTAGATAATTTATTTACACTGATAAGGACAAATTTCAGTTATCAGGTTTAAAATCACTTTACCTGCAAAAAAGGGCCTTTTTAAAATATTTCCAGCCATTGCTTTGATCAATAAAATAAAAATCAGTTTATTAATGACTTATCGATCATAGATTCAGACTCAAAAGCTTCAAATAAAGAGAAATTGATCCCTGCGACTTCTACTCCTGCCATTATCAAACAGCAGACACCAGCCAAAGTCTAATAATAATAATAATAGTACTTCTGATACTAATAATAATGATAATAAGAAGAAGATGAACAAGGAGAAGTTGTCCTCTTTCCATTTATAAAGCTATTAGTTGCATGATTAAGCAATTATTTCCACCTTAAATTTAAATGTCTCTACGTTTTCTTCTTCTCCGAAACTTTGAATCGTCGTTTCCCATCACGACTGTCCTCTCAACGCCAGGGGCCTTCTGCACTTCAACACAAAAGGTCATGGACTCTGGTCCCGAACAAAAGCCTCTTTTGTATGTCTGCTGTTGGGAGAGTGACAAGGACTTGAAGGTTAGTCAACCTGGAGTCCCGAGGAGACACGGTTGACACTGGAGTGTCCATTAGGGCCCGGTCCTGTGATGCCGCCAACTTTCATGTCGTTCTATTGTTACAGCGCTCTCCCCTGAGAGGCAGACACAGAGTGGGTAATGAGGGGTAATTGTTGCGGGGTTAAGGATGATTAATTCCCTTGGTCAGGTGTCAGCCAGTTTTCATACCTGGCTGGCTGGGCAGACAGGTACAGGAAGGAGGGGAAGGTGCATGGAATATGAGACGAGGTAGATGCACACACTCTGTTTGAATCGAACTGAACCCGGAAGCAGGAACCTTTTTTTTCCCCTAACCCTAAAACAAATATACACATTGTACAACACTATCACATCAGGACAAATTTCCCAGGATCATATCTTTCCAGAAACAAAGATGAAAGGTCATGGCGATCCTCCCCCTCCAATCGCCAAAGCTAGATTGAGATTGATAGCTGTCCCCATCCCTCCTACCTCCCCTTCAGCTTGACTGGCTAATCTGAATACCTCTCCATCCATCCCTTCATTCTAACCGGGCAATTTTGGACACTGATTATCTTGCAACCTGTGTGTGCACGACAGTAAATGCAGGGGCTGTCTGGTAATTGACCAGGCAAAGGCTGAGACGCCTGCCGTGTAATTGAGCGGGGGCTGACGGGCTCTCGCAAGACTGAAAGGGTCCGAGGATCACTATTGCCCATTAGAGCTGGCGGGGGGTCTCCTGTGCCTGTGGATTCTACCGTAAGGGCCCGTCGTGCCCAACACCTCAATACAGGACTGACACCTTTCAGTGGTGGAGACTGAGGTTTACACAGAAGCAGCTGCTGTCCTACAAACTGTGAGGGGGGATATATAGATCTTTCTAAAATGGACAGAGGACATCATTTAAACACCTACCAACATATAAACATACAAATCTCACACACAGTGTCAGCTTCATATCCTGAACTCTGTAATTATGAGTTAAAGAGACTCTTCAAAACATCCCATGAAGGTTTTAATGCCTCTTACGTGTTCAGAAAAACATTGTTGTGGCAATTATTATTCCCACAAATATGTCACTTACCATGATTGTACACACTTATACATATGAGTCCTCTAAATGTGCCTGTTTTTTCATCCAGATTTATGAACTGATCCCTGGAAAATCAGTAAAAGTGTCAAAAAATCTTCCAAATTTGAATGTGTTCTTCCCTGACCCATACATCCTTCCACCATCATACATACAAACCAACAACCAATGGACAGGTGAAGACATTCTTGGTTAAGGAAAATTCATGTGTATTTACCAAAATGTTAACCTATTCCTTTAAAAACAATAGATTTTGCAGATTTTCGTGAACTGCGTAGCTGCCATTAGAGGGATTAACTGTGTACATGAATGTCATCAGTGCATCCTTGTGGTAACACTTTTCCTCACTGAAAAACGAGCTTTGAAAAACAGCACCTTGCTCACCCGTACCATGTTTGTCTAGTTTTCAAAAAAGGTAATAATCAGTTACACAATACTGCATCTTTTGTCCAAAAAAGACTTCTGCCTCTTCCCTCTGTTTTTAAAGCCTGGGGTCCCCATGCTGAGAGGTGAAATATACATATATGGCCAATTAGTTTTCTTTCCATCTGACTTGTGCCATTTGAGCTCAGAAATGGCCTCATCACTTCCGCACCAGCGGCTATCACCGAGCCACCGTGCTCACTTTTACACAGAACCAACCTGCACAAGTATGATACAGTCTCCTTGTTGCCCCGGGATCTTCAGGAGGGCAGTGACTGTGCGGCCCCAACACTTAAACAGGCAGGTAATAATAAATAAATAAATAGACTATAAACCAAAGACATTACCTATTAATCTAAAAACTACTATAAAAACACATTCATGTTGACAAGGAGAGAGATCAGTATTTTCTGTAACAAATAAAAAAAAGAACTGAGGAAAACAAAACCCAATTTACTATTTTATTTCTACAACAAATCATTTGTAAATGTTTAAACTTCCAAGAACCAGACAAATTCAGGAAATATTCTACTTCAACTCACATTTTCTTTTTTCACACCTTTCCACCCAGGAAACCAATATATAATTGTATTTGGATTTTTACTCACTTATATCGGTATTGGCATTGGCTCCAAAAAAATCAACATTGGTTAGACTCTAATGTTTGTGTCTGGTGTGCTAATGCTAATACAACTAACAATAAAAATGAAGGTGGAGGGTGAACAATGGAGTCCTAAGCTACAACTTCTTATGACACAGCAGAAAGAGGAAGGTGTAAAGGAAAATCCGGGTTGCAGCAGTTACTGCTTGGTGCTGGAGAAACCCTGCAAACGATGGTGCTCCCTTAACCTGCGGAGAAGAGCAAGAAGAGAAGAAAAGAAGAAGACGAGTGTTATTTATACCGACACATCTTTACTTACGGGATCATGCATTCCAGCTGTTTGGAGTTAATATTACGGTGCAAAGGGCGCTAACCTGACAGCGTTAATCCGGATGAATCCAGAGGCGTCACATGGGTCGTAGTCTCCTTGCACATCCATGCTGGAGTTAAAGGCAAGAGAGAGACGAGGGTTAACGATCATCAAATCCAAGGTTGGAGGAAAACAAGTAGGACGGAGGTAAACGGTTACTCTGGCAACAAAATTACTGAAATGTTTGGAGTTAACAGTAAAGTAACAGACACGGAGCCTGATCTGCCTCTGGAATAACTGGATCACTGATAATCTGCTCTTTTGAAATGACGTCTCCCATCGATTTTCCCTTGAATGCTCTTCTGTAGCATTGTTTGTCCTGAATAATGAATAATCAATAAAGAAATAGTGAAAACACGCTCATGTACAAATGCACACAAAAGGTGCATGTAACGCACTTTCAAACAATCCCATCATATCAGCTGTGAGCTAAGTGTGAAGATGATTTTGTAATCTGGCGTTTTCTGTCTTCCAGTCTATCCAGAAGTAAATCTATAACTTGTGCCTCTGCCTGTTTCGTGTCATGTTTAGCTGCTCACCGCAGACGTCTCTTCTTAGCGTGCGCGAGCGTCTCACAAAGAGTGTCCGTGTGCTGTGTAATTACAGCAGTTTCTACCTGCAGTGCTTAATGCACTCCCTCCTCTCCTCCCTGCAACACCCAATGTACAGCTTGCACTCATTCTTCAAAAGCACTTAGCAAAGGAGGAAATTGCCAACAAATGATAGGATAAACACTATAAAAAGAAAGAGCGACAACTAAATCATCAACTCTCAATACAAGGCTCCCTACCCGGCACCTGAACATGATTATGAGTGAGTGGCTTCAAAGAATGGGGCACTCTGAGCGTGTGCGTGTCTGTGCGTGTCTGTGTGTGTGTGGGTGAGCATGTGATATTTTGTGTATTTCTTTAAGAAACCCTGCAGTCTAATTGAGAGTGGAGCCAGCGGACAGTGAGCAGGGTGACATTTCTGTCTCAGATGGGTGCGGTGACGGGCTGTATTACCACTGTGTTAATGACGCCGTTTACTGTTGCCTGTGGAGCGACAACAGGATGCCAGCAGGGATTTGTGTGTGTGTGTGTGTGTGTGTGTGTGTGTGTGTGTGTATGAGTGAGAAAGAGAGAGAGAGAGACTGCTGCTTCCAGGTGTATCTCTATTAGGTAAAGATAAATGTCACTTACACTGTACATGTCGTGATCACCATAACGCTAATAAAACATATAACATTGGACTATCCTGCTTATATCATAGGCACCGCCTATTATTACTATTACTATTTGTGTTCTTAAGAATTTACTGATCACTGGTCATGCTGATAATAACTGTGACTTTGCACCAATCGATCTTAAAAAAAGCTTCATTTTGATTAAATCTGAGCATCAATTTGTGTTTTTTATTACCTTGTTCAATAGAGAACTGTCAGAAAAAAAAATTACATCAATCATCATTTGCACTGCACTGATTTCAGTTTGATTCTTAATCTGTCTCCATTAAATAAATACCAAAATTGTATGAAGCACTTCTCAGAATTTGTCCCACTAATATAGATTTTATCAGAAATTCATGGGTGTGTGTGTGTTTGCAGCTGAGACTGCTGTTTTTTGTTAGGACCAGTTGTATTGAGCTCCTTTATGAGGAGACCAACTTCAGCCATCTGTCGGTGGCCCTGAGGACTTTGTGATGTTGCAACACTACACCCCTGCCACACTCATGTGTCGTCCAAGGCGAAGTTATGAAATGAGACCAAGGTCAGGTCACTAGTGAGAGTTTCCAAGCAACAGAAAGATCCACGATACATAGTTTTTCTAGAGTGACTCAGCAGTTAGAGATTTACTGAAAACAAGAAACAGAATAAAAACTGAGAAAAAGATATATAGGTTGAAATGGCAGAATGAATGCACAATTTCTTTATCTCACTCCCAAACACTAGCTGAATGTGTGAGGCACTTCTCCTCATCTCTCTCTCTCTCTTTCTGACCTGCTTAACTAGCATGACACCCCTCACGCTTTCCTCTCACAGGCCCAGTGGAATCACCTCTCTCCTCTGGCTGAAAACGCCATTAGCTTTCTGACTCTAGGGTACAACTGGAGTGTGTGTGACTGAGGCATATGGAGTTCTTTTTTTTCCTTCTTTTTTTTACATTGGTCAGTGCTGAGCCTGCCCAGAGGGCATGAGGGGTCAGCCTCCTGAACAAACCCACTGTTTGAGTGGCTAAGAGGGCATGGGGATGCGGTGGAGGGGGGGGCGGTTAGGGTCGGGGTGAGGTGGGGCGGTTGGGGGGGGCTGCCCTGCAGGAACTGAGCCCGACATTTCTCTGATGTCTTTGTGAGGCAGGGTGCGTTCAATACGTTGACTTGGAGGTCAGAAGAGAAGTTGGGCAGAATGAGCCAACGACTCAGCCGATTGGTGGACATGTGGAATAGCTGCACTGTGGCCGAGGGCAGCCAAACACAGCTGTCGACGAGGAACGAGCACACACTTTGATTCACTGACACAAGGCTACAAACACACACACACACTTACATTGACTTACATTGATTTCCTGAAAGCTGACTCTAACCTTAACCATAGCACTTGCTTAACCCTAACCTGAACCTAACTTTAAATCATTTTCACCTTAACGTCTAAGGATTTAAAGTTATAAGACAAGTCCCCATGATGTGACTGTATAAACAGATTTACTGTAGATCCTCACAACATGAATAATACCTGGACCGCACAGGTTTGTGCACCTATCCAGTCAGATCTTTGCATTGACTTCAATTCATTGTGTACAGATGAACCAAAACCATGTCCCGAACCTTAACCTAACCACAGTTCACATCTTACCACCAGCCTTAACCATAGTGACTACTTGCCTAACCCTTACTCTAATCTTACCCTAAACCTAACCTTAAAAAATTTCTTCACCTTAAAATTTTAGGATTTGTTATGGGGACTCACTTGTTGTCCCCATCAGGAAGACAAGTCCCCATAATATGACTATGTCAATAGATTTAGGACCCCACAACATGAGTTAAACCTTGATCACACACACACTTTACCTTACCTGACCAACTCTTCGTTGTAAAGGGACTTGGGTGACTCTCGTCCCAGGATATAGACCTGACCCTTGAAGACGGACAGCTGTACTTTTCCCTCCACGTTCTCCTGGGACTTGGCTAAGCAGTGTCGCACAAACTCACACTCTGGACTGTACCAGAAACCTGAGGAAATAGGAACACACTGCATGTCACAAAGAGCATATCAAATTTAAAGGTTTGAAAAAATAAGGTTTTGGATTCAGTTCATTTTAACACAGAGTCGAGACAAACCCCTGATTGCTGTAACTGATCCCTATGACTAAGTCTGATGACATTTGTATTCATATTTATTTACATTTATTATTTTATTGATATTAATCAGACAATGGCACAACACAATACGCAAATCCTCCATTCAGATCATGGTCTAAAGGGGTCTGTGTTGTTGCTCCTCACAAGATGTTTCTGTCTGTGCTTTGATTTGATTTCTCTTCCAGGTGAACTTCACATCCCCCCTTGTCTTTACTCCCATTCTCTCTGGCCCGTCAGTCTCTGGGACAGATGGGCAGAGGCTATGTGTGTATATGTTCAGAGGTCAGGCACGCCCCACTCAGCAGGGGTCCTTCTCTCATCAGTGGCTGACCTCCACCTCATCGTCTGGTCACGTTCAAAGACACAATTCTTCCCTGCTTTTATTACCTCTGATTTAACAGTCAAAAACGGGCCCCATTTCGGTTCAGGGTGAATTCTTGATTTTGTGTTTTTCTTCATGGTAGTTCTGCTCATGTGTCAACTTGAGACATTTAAAAAGTAATGAAAAATATATTTAACATGCCTCCAGATACAAACATGATGTTTTAAAATAGCTTATTTCAAATAGTCAACAGACAAAAAAATTACAATACTTTGGGAAAATTAAATATATAACATACAAGACGAATGCATCATGCTGCATCAGTACAAGACCAACTCAGACTGCTGCAACTTCTCTAATGATAGAGAAATAACTTCAAACAAGGAAGATAAATTGTTCCGCATTAATGCAAAACAGATGCAGGACATGTGGACTGTTAACATAAGTCCCAACTCAGGCCGTCTGTTGTCTATTTGCAGAATTATTAATGATTTAAACCTACAATGGGTTTAATCTCTGCTCTGCCTCTGAAGATAGCACCTTTGTGTGTAAGTGTGTGTGTGTGTGTTTGCTTCCTGTCTCTGGAGGGTATAACTGAAGTGGCCTAGTAGTCGGTCTCTAATGGCGCTGATCCTATTATGTGGATGAAGGTGCAGGGGACTGGAGCTCGAGCAGAAGGGAGGATTAAGACACCTGAGCCAAGAAAAGCTCATGCACACACATGCAAACATACGTAACATACAGGGACATATGTACACATGGTCACATTCGCTCTTATATAAGGTGTACAGGGCCGTCTCTGGCAGAAATGATGAGCAGTGACCACCATGGCAATATTAGAAAGACAGGATTACTGTGAATACTGTCAATTTTAAGTTTAAAATTATGCATCCCCCTTCTTTGCATTGTTGATGACATTTTTTCAGCATTAGGTAATATGCTGGTAAGGTAATAATTACATTTCTGAGTGCTCTTACCTGTTCTACAAATAACAATATGTCACTAAACACACAGAATAAAGGAAATAATTGTGATTTACCATTGTAGACGAGTTCAGAGAACTTGATACTCAGTCCCTGCTTGATCCGTCGGACCTCTTTGTCCATGGTAAAGGTCTCGATGTCCAAATGAGCCTGTAACAGGATGGTGCCTCCGGGGGTTTCATAAATCCCTGCCAAACACGGCAAGAAAATCAACAACATGAAGAAATACACATGCATAAAACACTACATAGATTAATAGATTAATAGATTAACAGATCAGCCTGTGTAATGGCGTCTGTGTCTAACATTCAACACACTATTTCATTATTCCCATGATTTATGACATTGAAACTTTAATCTGAAAAGTGAAATAAAACAAATGTAATAAAAATAAATAATGACACATATATATGTATATATACACACACAATTTCCTTCAATAAATACCACAACCAGCAGCATTGTCATCATCATCATCAGGGGCCATTCACAGGAACATAAACTACACCTACGAGCGAGCAACTCTATTAGCCATCAGCCATGTGACAGACAGGCCTTCATGGTGCTCAGTGTCCTGGGTAAATGACAGGGTAGGAGGACCCTGCCAGCCTGGCGCCTGGACCAGGGCTCTCCCTACCCTGCAATTTACCCCCTCTGGACAGGGAGGGAGGGGTGAGGGGAGAAAAGATGAGGTAGATGACAGGAAAAATGAAGCTGTCACTCAAATGTCAGCTAAAACAAAAAAAAAAGGATTGGAGGGGGGTGCAGGGTAAAAAGGTGGTAGACAGATCTGACAACATAAATAGGAGCTTTATCGATAATATTCATTTCGGTGAATCATGGCCGTTTCCTCCATGCATCAAGAGAGTCACACTTTTTTTGATTCAAGCCTCCAAAACAGATTCTCGCACCAGATTCCCCATCCATCCTGACTTCAAAATCCTTTTCTGAATCCTTAATCTCTTCAATGCTGGAGCTCCAATCTGCATGACCCCCAAACGCTGCAGCACCCAGCCCTGACCCGAAAGTGGAGATGCACTCGCTATGTGCCGGTGGCCAAAAAAGGAGCTTAGCAATGCTGCTAATTGTCCAAAGCCTCAAAGGGCGGCCACCTGAGCCAAGCACGGCTTGTGGCTTTTTCATCCAGGGCCGTGGAGGGCACGTAGGGACATTTCCGCTGGCTCCATCAGATAAATAAGTTAAAACTGCCCTCCAACACAACTTGGCTTAAGTGCTCCAAAAGAGAGCTGTAGCTTAGCGGCAAGGAGCAACAATGAAATGCTATCTGGGTAAGCTCCAACAGTGGCAGTTGAGTTAAGCTAAAAGAGACAACACCCCCCTGTGGTTTTTGAGGTTTTAATCTTTTATACGGTTACTGCAGGTATGCTAACCATGCTGCAGGGCGGCAGGGGCTCAGGTCAGGAATTAATTCACCCTGAGCTGAACCCCTCCAACCCTTTGGGCGAGCTGTTAGTCCTGCATAAACAGGCAACACCTAAATAAATACATGCAGATAAAGACTTTATTTGACGAAAACCATTTGACTTGAATAAACAGGTCAATATATTAAAATGTTCTGCATTATTTTTCGGTGTCGTCCTGGAATTTGACAGCAAACGATTGAGACTGTTCATCATTAAGAAATGCAGCCGTTTGCCACTGCGACTGATCGTTGCTTCCTCCGCTAACACCGTCACCTGGGAACGGGTCAGAGGTTTGACAGCAGCGTGACAGGTGGGAAATGTTAGTCTGGCGCACAGGCTGTTGAATGTTTTGGAGCACAGAGACAACGGTCTTGACAATCCATTTCAGTCCCCCGACGCCTTCCTGACCCCACACAAATAAATATGACCCAACACAAATAAGTATGACATGTCACCATTCAATCACTCCCCATTATCTATTGTGCGAACGCGACTGCCATTCCAGAGGGGACCAACAAGTGCACTCGATGGCTGTTATTCAACCACTTGGACACCTTGTGCTCCACCTCCTCCTACAGCTGCAGCAGAGGAGAAAGCTCTGATCTTTTGTTCAGCCGAGAGAGAGAGAAAAGTGGGCTTCCCATTTTCCAATTTCTACCTGCCAAGTTGCGCCACAGCCACAGTCTGTTGGCAAGTCAATTTGCCAATCATAGCACATAGTGTCGTGGGGGAAGAGGAGTGTGCACGAGTGTGTGCGTGCGAGTGTGTGTGCAACAAGGCCACGCGGCTCACTGGTATATTTGCTGTGCTCACACATGTAAAAACCCAACAAAGGTGTTTATCGAGTTGTCTGTTGATATCAAAGATAAAGACAGAAAAACATCCCTGTTCAACTCCATGTGCACGTATGTGATCGTCTGTGTATTTGTGTTTATCCAGTGAAGCGTGCGAGCTGCCATCTCGCTCACGCTGTGTGTTTTCTGTACATGTGTGTACAAGCATAAGTGAATGGAAGTAACTTCTGTAGGTGAAAACATTTCCTTTGAGGAGAGTGTGTGTGTGTGTGTGTGAGTGTGTGTGTGTGTGTGTTTGCCATCCAGCCCACTTTTATGGAAGCGGAATAGCAAGTGTGACACTTAAAGCACTCAAGTAAAATAACTGCAAATTGCATGAAAGCCCTGGACACTGAAAGGAAAAGGTTTTTGAATAGATATAAAGTGTAAAAATTGCAAATATGTCCATCTCACTGCATTTACAGTGTCAGACTAATTTGGCACTAATAGAATCAAAACATCATCACTAAGACAGATTAAAAATGAAATATAATTTTTTAATTCCTTACCTCTGGACTTCATTCCAATGAAACGGTTCTCGACAATGTCAATCCTACCCACACCATGTATGCCTCTAAGACAGGGAGAAACAGATAACTTTGAGTGGACAATAATATATTCTCAATTTAGTTTGACCCATTTGAGAAACAGAGAGAATCCACATCCCTGTTATAATAATAATAAGCGTGAGAGAAAGCTGTTACTGTTTCCTTCTTTACCTCACATCCTCTATATAACATTTTGAATGGTTTCCCCTGATAATGGAAATCATGACATTAGTTTAGAATAACTCGTGTGTGATGCATGTGTTGAAGAGGCAGCAGTAACTTTACTATGATTTTAATGATGGAGGATTTTCTGATTGTCCTTTGGCGTCCGTCGACTCACCTTTATTTCTCTTCTTTTATTCGAACAGTTGGAAAGCATAGGAAGATAAGAAGTTTTGCGGTGACAAACACGGAAGGGAAAATTGTGATTGGGTTTCATCCCAGCTCAGCTGCGACACAGACACACATCCTTTAGAGGTGGTGAACTTAATCACCTCTGGGCAAACTTACGCACACTACTCTGAGAAGCTTCCTTGTGTTGGACACCTAATGTTGAAAGTTTTTTTTTAAATAAAGATTTGTAGAAATGTGTAAAAGCAACAGAAAAGTGCTCACCCAATCTCATTCAGGAGTGAGAAGATGTCCAGGGGTATGTCCTTGAATGAGCCGTCATTCAGATTGGTCACCTTGACAGGAACTCCTAAAGTGAAAAGATGTTCATATAACATATTGAAATCTTACATATAAATAATTGTGCATTGAAAAGCTCCTTTGTGCCCTCAGATAGCAAAAACCTATCCCCAGGAGTGCATTTCACCAGAGAGAAGAACCAATGAAAGAGTGATCTTCTGTTTATTTCTTGTTCTTTATTTTTGCTGTCTGGACACTGCACCTTTTTTCCGATGCAACGTTACGATGCATATTGAACTTCCAAGCATTAGCTTCTAAATAGCCATGAACGTTTGCATACTTTTTTGTTTTTACATCTTTAAGCAACGTGCAACAGCGATTTGCAACACTGGCAAGACAGGGAGGTTTCCGACACATAGCTGTTTCCCCCGTCTTGCAGCCTTTATGCTAAGCCAAGCATACAAATTCTGTTTGCATATAATATTTACTAGAATCTTCACATTTCCACAGAAACGTGACACCAAGGTGCGGCAATTTGACAAGACAGGGCTCCTCAGTTTTCAGTGTACTCATGATGTCAAACATGATGCACTGGGGGAAAAACACAGGTAAACTCCTCCACAGACAATAGGAACAGAGTTTAGGGACTTTGCCCGTGAATAAAAAACCTAATTTAACTGCAAATTTTGGTGTAAAAGCATTATAATATTGAAAACAATACAAAAGCTTAAGTATTTTCTGTCACTCTGCAGTTCCTAACTCAGATCTTTATGACGTAAAACAGAGATCTTCATCTCCTCTCAAGACCTTCCCTCCATGAGTTTGCATGATCTTCCCAAAACTTTACTTCATCTTTAAAATCTGTTGAAATTAAGCACTGTCATAATACACAACGTCCATTTTATACTTTATATGAGTTGATAATAAAGTAAATGTAACCTTAACACACCCTAGTTAATCAACAGCTTTCTGAAAACTGCTGTCACATGAATTTCAATTGACCAAAAAATACAGAGTTTATAAAAGTCTGCTGACAAGTGCTCATTATCTCCGTCACTGAAATCAATAGTCGTCAGATGAAAGTGAGAGCCGTTACAAAAGGAGGTGGTGAGAAGGGCTAATAAATTCAAAGGCCCTGCTCATTTGAAGGCTGTGAAATCGTGGGCAGGCCTTCACCTAATTCAATTACACACGCAGCTTTGTTACCCCTGCGCTCTTTAGCAAGGAGATTTTTTTCTGTGTGCGTGTTCACGCGCATGTGCAGGAGACACTTGTGGATTCATGGCCATCGTCCTGTTTTAGACACACACATTTGTAAATCTATTTTAGTGAGGACACTGTTGCCATAATGCATTCCCTAGCCCCTTACCCTAACCTTAACCATCAAAACTAAATGCCTAACACATTTACCTATTCTAACCCTTAAAGTCTTACCCCTGAAACAGCCCATGAAAAGTGGGACAATAATGGAGGACGGGCAAAAATGTCCTCACTCTGTATAGGTTGTAGGCTCAAAATGTGAAAGTACGCACAAAGAGGTTTGTGCAGTTATCCTTATTAGGACTGTGCATTGACAATAGCCTTACTAAAACCTAATGGCTACAGTAAACAAAAAAAACCCAGGACACACACACACACACACACACACACAC